CAAACTCCTGGGCTCAAGCAATCCTACTGCCTCAGCCTCCCAAGTAGCTAGAACTACAGGCATGCGCTACCATGCCCGGCTAACTTTTTCTATATATTTTTAGCTGTCCAGCTAATCTCTTTCTATTTTTTTTAGTAGAGACGGGGTCTCGCTCTTGCTCAGGCTGGTCTCGAACTTCTGAGCTCAAACGATCTGCTTGCCTAGGCCTTCCAGAGTGCTAAGGTTACAGGCATGAGCCACCATGCCCAGCCAGGAATATGGTTCTTAATATTAAAAAAATAAGGAAAACAAAGATTTTTTGGGGTAAGAAAATATGTTTTCTATCCAATTATGCTTATCTTGAATAGTATATGCTATTACCATAAATATCAATGAATAAATACTATCCATCACTAACAAGTACTCTGTTAAATTCAGTTCCATTAGCCAATCAAGCAGCCCCAACTGTATTTCCTGATTACTTTACAAAGACCCATTTTGCTATAAAGATTTAAATAGTCTACATTTCTAACTTACTGGGACTGCAGCTGGAACATGCACATTAGAACTTGTAATTGATGCAGGAATAGCAACAGGCATGGTTTGTCCATTAGGAAGATGTAACAGAAGAGGAAATGGGCCTGGTACAGGGCTAATAAAAACAAAAGAAGGGAAATTAAAGAAAAGAGATCCATACCAATTATCTCTTCAAAATACAGCAGTATTTTTTACTCCTATCATATCATTTAAAAATAAATTTTCTAACCACTGCAAAGCAAACTATAAAATTTAATTATTTTAAATTGCATCTTAAATGTAGCAGTATTAAGAAAAGGGGGAAAAAATTAGTGATTTACTTAAGACAATCTCCAATTCATAAAATGAGAAAAATTCTCATCTGAAAGGTCTTGGGAGTTACTTGTAAGAAATGAAAGAAATGTCATCTGGTGATGGAGTAATTTTATATGTTTTATGTGAAATATGAAAATAAGAAATCACCTTAAATTTACATTCTATTTTGATTTGTTTTTAACTAAATTTTAGATATTTATTTTCCCATGTATTAGATAATATTTATATTAAAGGAAAGACTACCCAAGTACTTTTTCCAAAAGTCAAAGCATGCAGATCTCACAAACACGCTCCCCCTTGGGTACAATTTGAATAACTAAATGTCTTAGGAAAAATTATAACAAGAAAAACTTACTAATGCATATATGTTTCAATGATTGGCCTGAATCACTTACACAATTGGCCTGTTGGAGGATGGTGCCTGGGTGATTACAGTACTTGAGGTTGGTGAAGGTACTGCCTGTTGAATAATTACACTTGAGTCAGAACTTGTAAGCAGCACGTTAGGAACCTGTAATGAAGCTGGACGAACAATAGCTGATGTGGGCTGTGCAGTTTGTGCCAACGGTACTTCCTATTAAACAATGAAATAAAGAAAGGGTGGTATTTAAACATGCCAATCAATTCATGTACCTTTGTGAACAGAATGTAACAAACTTCTAAAAGCATCTATGGGATAATACTTAACCCCAAAAGTAAATTAATATCTAAAATTAACTAAAAGAAAATTTTAGAAACAGCTGTAAAGGTCCAAATGTAATGTTCAATTAATATTTTAATTTTTAAAAATATGAGGGCTTTTTTTTAGTACAACTTTTTTTCCTATCAATCCAGAAATAAGTTAGGCTAGGCAACTTGGCTATGATTCCGTGAGAATTTTAGTAAAATATAAAAATACAATCCATTCTCATGGAATCATGGAATTTAAAATTTAAAATCTGCCTAGTCTTACTCCCTCATTATACTATACAGAGAAGAAATAGGTCCAGGGAGACTATGTTATGGTTAACACAAATTCAATAACAGAAATGCTTAAAAATACTTTAAAGCAATACAAATATTTGCTAATCTCAGGTAGCTACCCCTTCTATAGCAGTAATTCCTCAACATCAAAAGGCCAAATAATATTGGTATCTTGAATGTAAAATAAATAATTACTGCAGTGAGAGCTTTCCAAATTAAAGGAAAATAGAATTTGTGAGTCAGCCAGGACCTTAAAGATGGTATTCGTCCAGTTTTACAGATTAGGAAACAAAGAGATTAAAGGGTCCTACCCAGAACTCCTTAACAGTTAGCATAAAAATGGGGTCTACTGTGTTCTTTAAGTTGGCCTGTATGCTGCCACTTATTGTTGAAATCTTATTAAGCTACAAAGGAAGGATAAACTAGTACTACTATTGTAATTTCATTTATTCAACAAGTTGAGAATTTATAACATGCCCTTAAATACTAGTAGGAAGAGAGAGGCAATAAACAAGTAAAACAAACTAAAAGAAAATTTCAAAATATAGTAAGCGTTACGTGTTATGGAATAACAAGTCCAAGTCTGGGCATGGTGGCTCATGCCTGTAATCCCAACACTTTAGGAGGCTGAGGAGGGAGAACTGCTCAAGCCCCAGGAGTTTTCAGAGCAGCCTGGGTAACATAGGGAGACCTTGTCACTACAAAAACTTAGCTGGGCATGGTGGCATGAACCTGTAGCCCTACCTACTTGGGAGGCTGAGGCAGGAGGATCATGTAAGCCAGGAGTTAGAGGCTACGACTGCACCACTGCACTCCAGCCTGGGTGACAGACTGAAACCCTGTCTCTTTAACAAAAAAAAAGAAAAAAAGAATAAAAAAGTGCAATGTAATAAAGAGTGGAATTAACTGAGGGTAAGGCAGAGTCCACTACTTTAGATAGTGAAGGAAGATGAGCTTCTTTGCAAAGATTGTATTTGAAATGATACTAAAAGGATAAGGAGCATTTCCTTCTAGGAAGCAATACCACATATAATGACTTGAGGCAGGAAAAAGCTCGGCCTATTTGATGAACACAATGCAGTGTCATGAGGTGAGGATGAATGGATAGACAAGTCTAGATCAAAGAGGGCTTATGGTAAGGAGTGTGAATTATCTTAAAATACAATGGCAAACCACTGAAGGATTTTAAGCAGGGAAATGATATAACTTAACCTATTATAAAAAACTTGCAGAAAATAGAATGGAGATGAAAGCATTAATTCCAGTTAGAATGTAATTGTTAATAACCCAAGTAAAAAATAATAATGGCTTGGCCTAAAGTGGTGACACTGAACACAGAAGAGGATAAGATTTAGGATATAGGCCGGACGCAGTGGCTCACGCCTGTAATCCTAGCACTCTGGGAGGCAAAGGCGGGTGGATTGCTCAAGGTCAGGAGTGAGAGACCAGCTTGAGCAAGAGCGAGACCCCATCTCTACTGAAAAATAGAAAGAAATGATCTGGACAACTAAAAATATATATATAGAAAAAATCAGCCAGGCATGGTGGCACATGCCTGTAGTCCCAGCTACTTGGGAGGCTGAGGCAGTAGGATTGCTTGAGCCCAGGAGTTTGAGGTTGC